AACTCTCTGGTCTACTAACCATTAAAGGATCAGAGACTTGATGATATAGGTCAAAGAATTAAAGTCAGGGAAAAATGGAAAAAAGTAGAGGCCAGGGAGAATCCATGCTGAATCAAGAAATCTTACTGCATTTAACTGTTCAAATAGAGGGAGTAAACATAGCTTCAACACGTAGGAAGGGTTCACAATGCCTCTTGCTTACGCAGGTTATGCGACAGCAATGATTAAAAGATGGCCTGCTTGGGGATTCAGGATGCAGAAAAACTTAGAAAATAAGAGTAGATAAAATCACTTAGGAGACATTTTCTCAAATGAAAGGAGCTGGGGAAAGAGATGTTAGTAAAAGAAGCTCGACATTAACAATGAGCACTGAGATCCCAGAAGACACATGACATAGCGGAATTCCAAAGGTTTTCTAAAAACCAGAAGTTAAAGAGTCCACTGTGTATCTCTCTCTTTCAACTGGTAATTTGTTTGCTCAATATGAACAAGAGCCACCAACGAAAGATTCTTATAACTCTCTTATATTCTTCCTAGACTCTGATTCATTTGCAATGTCCTTTTTGGGCCTATTCTGAAAACCTGTCAGAGCTGAAATGCAATTAATTATGGTTCATTGTACCCCAGCCTCTATTATGGGTCATTTCAATCAACTCTATATTACACACATTCCACAAATCTTTGTTGGGTGAAGTAAGAGCTTCATGGCATCAGCTGATCTTCCAGATATCCTGGGACTGAATACAAAATCCAGCCAAAGAGTCTGCTTCCTTCAGGTAGTTATAAGTAAGGAAGCATAAAAGGAATGCTATTAATGGCAATACTTGAGTGTGATGGTATAATGGAATGAATGGTAATAACACCAATCTGAATTATGTACCATCTTTTATTGGAGATATTCACACTCTCTTAGACTAATCAGTGTCACTCCTCTACTGGCAAGGGACACAAACATATAGAGAGCAAGATTCTAAGAACCAACCCAAGATCACAGTGACTCAGATACAAATCTGACACTGAACCAGTGTCTTCACAGCCACACAATCTCTGTCCTCTTTTCCAGGTGTGCTTAGAAAGCGTATGCTCATTTCTTTCTAAGCCACCCCACTTTCAGCTCCTAGGCTTTTTCATTGAGAACTTTGGGACGGTATGTGGGAATACGATGTCCCTCTGGGCAGCCAGTCATTTTTTGGGAGGAATTATGAGATTCAGAGCCATTACCACAGCATCCTTCTGTGGCACCAGCTCTCTGGTCTCTTCTGTTGGAAAGTCTTAAAAATGTTACCATCTTTAAAGAACAGCTATCTCATCATCTTCCAACTCACCACTGAGCAAAGGGAGAGGTTGAGGTCAGAACTAACACTTACTCCCAGTTAAAGGTATTTGTGTATAAGGGCTAATAACTGATGTTTAGTTGTAGTTCAAATAAAAATGGATGATTTATAAGATTGCAGAACTGTAAGATGAAAAAACACAGATAAAAAACATGTCTATTGATCTGAAATGCTAACTGACAAAGACTGCTAATTGATTGCTTCTTCTTATTCTTTTGTTCCACTGAATTACAGAAAGAACCACAAATGTACCAGGAGAAAATCACAAATCCTGCTGACACAAAGAATCGAGAGTGAAATAAAATACTACTGTCATCTTACTAATCTCAAGTTGTGAAAATGAAACTTTTAGATTAAGGCCTAGGGAAGTGAGTCAGCAAGCCCTTGACACAGTTGAGCCATTATTGACATTAAAGAACCTGACTTGCAAAACTTTGATATTTTGGTCTGAAAGGATATGAAGCTGTCCTTTTTTACATGTGAAAGACTGATGTTCTGAATAAGGAAGACACAAGTGAGGCTAGGAAACAATTGTCATTAAAGCTGATGTGTATGAGGAGAAACACTGAATGACAATCTGAGTACTATCCTCAAGAGAACAACCCAAGAGGGAAGAAAAGACACTAACATGAATTACTGGTGTTGAAAAAGAAGAGAGTGACAGGAAAAACTGAACAAATACAATGGATCGAGTGAATGCTAAAGCAGTTTGCGTTCAAGCGTTCCTCTTTTAGTTCAATCTGCGTCACTCTGACTTTTCATAAAAGTTGTGTGGGAGAAAAGAGGAGGGATGGAATTTGGAAGAATAAAAGCGAAGAAAAATTCTGAAGAGACTATTTTTGTGAGAATTCTTTCTTGACCCTAGATCTAGTGTAACATACACACTTTCACAACCACCCTAGATCTAGATAACACTTCCATTGAGAGAAGGCTCAAGTCTTCTTTCTAGTGACAGAGTACCAGTTAACAAAAAACCCCTGAAAACTTGATTTCCAGTTCAACGCGGATTTTCACCTGCCTTTCCTGTCTGGGTTGTAGATTTAAGAGGAACAATGAGAAGGCTGTCTGAGGAATCCAGTATCCAAGAAAGCATTACTCATTTATTACATCACGTTCAATTCTAAGCTGCAATTAAATAGAAGATGAGAATTATTATAAATATGTAGCTCCCTAAAATGGACAAGAGACAAAAAGACTCAATGAAAGTCTAACCACCCACTTTTAAGAGTGTAGCATTTCCCATTGACGTTAGCACAAAAAAAGATGACATAAATCCTTAGAGAGTTAGTAGAAGATGAGAATTCAGAGGTATTATAAAATTAATAATCTTGAAAAACAAGACATTCCTAATCCTTGTTGGCAAAATTGGAAAAATATCTGCAAAAGACTCAAGCAAGACCCACACCTCACTCCATACACAAAAACCAACTCAAGGTGGATCATGGACCTAGGACTAAAACCAAGGACTATAAAATTCATTACAGAAAAGCTAGGAACAACACTAGAAGTCCTAATCCACAACATAAACAGTCTTCCCAGTATCCTGGAAAAGCTACAACCAGGAGAAGATAACATAGATGAATGGGACCTTCTAAGACTCAAATCCCTATGCACATCCAAAAACTTCTCCAGTAGGGTAAAAAGGGAAGCCACTGACTGGGAAAAAGTATTCGGTAATAACATATCAGATAAGGGACTTATATCCAGAATTTATGAAATACTTGAGCACCACAACAAGATAAAGGTAAATAATCCAATAGAAAAATGGGCACAGGATATGAACAGGCACTTCACCGAAGACGACATTCAGATGGCTAACAAACACATGAAGAAATGCTCAAAATCCCTAGCCCTAAGAGAGATGCAAATTAAAACAACTATGAGATATCATTTCACCCCAGTCAAAATAGCACAATTTAACAGAACAGCAAGCAACAAATGCTGGCGAGGTTGTGGAGAAACTGGAACCCTGATTCACTGTTGGTGGGAGTGTAAAATGGTGCAACCCCTGTGGAAAGCAGTATGGCGCTTTCTCAAAAAGTTGCAAATAGAGATACCATTTGACCCAGCAATTCCACTACTGGGAATATACCCTGAAGAGACCATAGCTGACATCCAAGCAGATATATGCACACCCATGTTTATTGCAGCTTTGTTCACAATAGCAAGGAGTTGGAAACAACCTAAGTGCCCATCAACAAACGAATGGCTAGAGAAGCTGTGGTATATTTGCACAATGGAATACTATGCTGCATTAAAAAACAAGGAACTCATGCAATATTATTCAAAATGGTTGACTCTGGAGAACATTATGCTGAGTGAAATATCCCAGTCACAAAAGGACAAATATTACATGATGCCACTGTTGTAGAATGGGACTGTCCTTGGGGTTGGGGAGACACTGAGTAAGATGGGTTCAATAATGTATACTGCACTGAAACAGAGGAGGGAGAGAACCGTTTAAAAGAGAGATATAACTGGGTATTTCTGTCATCACAGGAGACTAGAGCGAGGGCTACATGGTGGAGGGGACCTGGGCGAGGGTTTGTAAAACAATGAAAGAATCTTTTCTTTTACTTTTCCATAATTTTTGGACTCATGTACTTATAACTTGTTAGTCAAATTTGTGTCTTCTAGGTTGCAACACCTCCATGATACATCTTCAAGGATATGAACATGTACAGCCAAGCACAATCAATAAGAGTGTATCTAAATTCCAAAATCAATCTCCATAATAGTCTATGTGTTTCCTACTGCCAAAGGGGCCCTTTAGAGTAGTGAGAGAAGATCTTCACCCTGAAACCCACAGCGTCCCTTTTCAGCAGGAAGTAGCTAAGAGAATACGCCATCCCCTTTTCCTTATGACTCAGGGTGAAGTCTCTCTCAGGGAGGAGTGATAGGGAAAGGCAAAGGACACACTGACAAAGAAGATTAATCAGAACTGGCTTTGACAAGCACTGTGGCATTTGGACAAGAACAAACTGGGAGGAGGGTAGAGAGAATAGTGCAACAATGAATGAGTGGAAGCCCAAAATCTCTGTAAATGTTTATGAAAATTAATAAAATATAATTATAGAGAAAAAAAAAAGACATTCCTAATCTTGGCCTAAAAATCTTTGAAAAAACATTTTTTTATTAAATTTTATTAGTTTTAATGAACATTTACAGAAATTTGGGGTTTTCATTCATTCATTGTTGCACTGTGAAAAAACATTTTTGTACCTAGCTTTTGGATATTTAGTCAGAATTAAATTATACTGAACATCTAGTACCAGCAGATGCCACTCAAGTCCCCAGGTGTTAATATTGATTCTCTTCTAAGAAGATAATTAAAAAAATTAAATAAAAAAACAAAAACAAGACAATGAAGGTCACTTAACAACTACCTCACTGTAGATTTAATCACAGTCAAAGGAAAGACTACAAACTCTGAAGATGGGATGTACCAAATTAACCATTATTTAACAGCATTCCTATTATTACCACTGCTAATCCTCTCAATGTGATCCAAATTCAGCAACAGGATAATTTCAGCAACTTCACCACTAGGTTTTGAATTCCCTAAGAGCAGAAATCATGTTATTCATCCTCATATCCCTAGCACCCAACAGAGTGCCTACTACACAGCTTGCATTTAATAAATGTTTTACTAAAATAAAATGTTACCATGTAAAATATCTGAGTCATCTTCAACAAAATCGATATCTCTCAAGTCCCATTCTGCATAATTGTCAAATTCCTGTTTGGGGGGGAAAAAAAAACCGATCACAAACCCATTAACTTTAATGTTTTTAATAATTTTTTTGTTGATGCTCTCTATGTGGGGAGAAAGATGAACAATCTTCTCCCATATGATGAACAGTTTTTTGTCTTGTTATGTACCATCGAATCAGATCCGAATGGCACAGCAAGACATTGCCCCTCCTTCTCCAGCAGAGCATCTGGTGGTTTCAAACCGTGTGCCTTCAGGATTGCAGTGAGCTTCTTTCCACTAGGCCACCAGTGCTCCCTCCATTAATTTTAACTAATGCCTTTATAGTAGACACGACAAAGCAAACAGAAAACAGACAAGCAGATACTGGTTTCAAAACAGTGAGTAACAAAAAGGCAAAATGTGGAATAGAATTTCAGGTTTTAATGGAATCTCTACTTTCTAGAGTCACAGAGGTTGACTGAGCCCCTGAAATAACTGTACTGTGATAATTTTTAACCTTAAATAAAAAAGAGCCCTGGATGTAATCCACAGGGAGTCTGTAGGGAATTATGCTGCTAACCAAAAGGCTAGGTTTCTCTGGATTCAAAACCACAACCTGATTTACAGCCAGGAACCTAAGAAAAGGTCAGCTATGAGCTGTGTCCAATTCAAGATGTTTCCATTTGTTTTATCATCTAAAATATCTCCTGATGTATCTGTAAAACTAAATAGTAAATCAGCTTAACTAGTATGTTTTTAACGTTATGCTCCTTAGAGATCCATACGGGGTAAAGTACAAGCAGCATCTTGTAAGATCAGATGGAAACTTTAGGGGCAGCGAGTTTATGTAACAGAGGAGGAACAGTTCAGAAAAGGAGAGTGAGAAAGGATGCACAGCTCAGAAAGTATATAAACAATATAACTGACTTGCATGTGTACAAACTGTTGGACCGGTATATATTCTGCGCTTGTAGTCTCAGTAACAAAAGAGAAAATATTTTTAAAACCCTAAAAACAGCAGTAAGTGAAGTAAAAGGTCAAGATGCCTTTATTAGTAATAGGAAGTCATGGGGAAAATCAGAAAGACTAGCAGATTTTGTCAGGTGAAACAGTCAGCTCTGACTCACAGCAACCCTATTATAATGTAAGAAAACACTGCCTCATCCTTCCTCATCTTCACAATCTCTGTTCTGCTCAAGTCCATTGTTGTTGTCACTGTGCGACTCGAGGCAGTTAATACTATGATGGCTTGAAGCAGTAGTGACAGCAAACATTACAATAGTTAAGAGTTCAAGAGTAAAGCCAGATCTATTGTTATAAAAATTAAGACATGGTCTGTTCATTCCGGAGAAAAGTTAACTTTGGCCAGGCCTTCAAATACTTATTTACTCAGCAAATCGTAACTCACTGCCATGGAGTTGGAAATGACTTTTTGCTGATCCTACAGCTGTTTTTCAAAGGCAGTAAATCCCATGAGAGGAGAATGTCTATGTGTTTTCTAAAGAATGACTGAATTTGAACTGCCAGAGAAGTGTCCCTATGGATTAGCAGTGCAACTCCCTACAGAGTACATCGCCAGAGCTCCCTAAGAAAAATATCTCCATCAATCCACATACTTTTTACTAACCTTTTATGAGTTCTACCTATTCAGTACAGAGCGCTGGCTCTGACTCAATAGCAGTTGAGTTTCTAAGTGAGACCTACTCATTAATAATGCTTACATATTCCTCAGAGAAGAACATCACACTTGGGAGGGTGGAGGGATGGTGAAGGAAAGGAAGACCTTCGACCAGGCAGATTGACAGTGACTGCAGCAATGGGCTTGAGTGTGTCGGAGATGTGAGGATGACACACGACAGGATAAATTTCAGACTTATTGCTCATAGGGTCACGAGTTGGGTACCTGATGGCACCTAACAACAACATACAGCTCAAGAGGGAGCTCTGGCAGCCCAGTGGTAAGAAGCTGCACTGTAATCCCAAAGGTATTACAGTTTGAATCTACCAGCTGCTCCATGGGAGAAGGATGGGCAATCTCCTAAAAAACTGCTGGAGGGTCAGCTATGAGGCAGTTTCAACTCAACAGTACACAGTGTCAACCTGTTCATAGTCTATTCAGTGAATACCATTGGGGAGTGTTTCTATGGGACAGCTCTGCAATGCCACGTGCCATTCTAAAATGCCGACCTGGGTGTTATCTGGCTAAACTGCTTATAGTTTATTAATAAATTGTCAAGGTACCTCCAGAAATACAATAGCTATGAATAAGAAATAAAGAAAAGGACTTATTAATATTGTCACACATAATTTTAATGCCATTAGCTACAGCTTGCAGTTTGTGGGTTTTTTTTGTTTGTTTTTTGGGTTTTTAAAATTTTATTATTTTTGTGTGCATGTACCGTCAAATCAGATCTGACTGGTACAGGAGGAGATTGTCCTTCCTTCCCCGGCAGAGCATCTGGTGGATTCGAACGGTGCGCCTCTGGGATTGTAGTTGCAGCTCCTTGCCACTAGGCCACCAGAGCTCCCCAGCTTGCAGTTTTTATAAATATTTTTAAGAGGTTTTTCTTATTGGCATTTAATAATGTGTCTAATAATTTAATACAGTCAACATGTTCATCACTTGTTTCGGCAAATAAAGTTTTCTTGGAAAACACATATGTTTATTTATCTATATACAGTCGCTTTTACAGCAAAATGGCAAAGTTTAGTTGTTAACAGAGACTATAAGGCTTGCAAAATCTAAAATATTTATAATCTAGTCTTGCACAGAAAAAGTTTGATAATCTTTGAAACATTCTAGGTATGAGATGAGAACTAGAAGAAAGAAATTCCCACAGCTACTGAAGACACAGGAGCCAACACTAAAGCCACCTGAGAAAGAGATTCTTGGTCTTTAGAACTTTTCTTGTTCTATATTTAAAATGCTCACTACCAGGAAAAGGCTTTCAAATAGGAAAACATGCTGAACTAAAAGACCACAACTGCCACAATGGGCTTACACACAACAGAGATTGTGAGTATGCAGCACTATCAGGTAGTTTTGTTCTGCTGGACACAAAGTCGCTGTAAGTTGAGAGTCAACTCTTTGACACCTAACAGCAACAACAAACCCCTTCCTTCTGGTGGCATGGAGCCTATGAGCACGAGCTATAAACCTCTTCAGGGAGAAATGAGTATCTTATCTTCATGCTAAGAACATGTTTCTCCTACCTCGATGAAGTCTGCTCGAGCTGGCATATATCCTGCCATGTCCTGGGAAAGCACAGAGTCAAAAGCAGGACGAGGAGGATCATCTGTGGCTGGGAGAATTTACAGTATTTCATAATTACTTATTAGTACAAAAAAGTGACGAACAGATTGTCTTCATTTATACCTTGTTTTTGAGAGTGAAAGCTAGGAATACACTCAGATTTCTTAGGGAATTCTTTAAGTAACTAGAGATCATACATACTTTTTGCCTGGTGGTACAATGGTTAAGTGGCTGTAAATCAAAAGGTTCATCATTTGAATTAACTCAGAAAATTCACGAAAGACAGACACAGTCATCTGCTTCTGTAAAATGTGAGCCAAGAAAACCCTATGGGCAGCTCTAAACTGCCATGTGGGGATACTATTATTTGGAGTCAAAGGAAGCCAAGGATTTATTATTTTAATACTATAGAATCAAAGCATTTATTTCTTTTACTCCTTTAAGATCAATTTCAATTTACAAATCTTAACCAATTGAGAGGCAAAAAACATTGGAATTGAGTTCTAGCATCCAGAGGTCCCATGATCTTATACAAATAGTCTAACTTTCTGATTAACAAGTTTCCACATAAAATGAGGTCAGCTCTTGCTCTTGTTTGTCTCACTGGGTTGCTCTGAAAAACCAAGATTCTATTGGATATGGGAACAAAATACAAACTAACATTTCAAAGCGCTGTGGAAAAAGGGGGTACCATGAAGCTCCAAGTTAGTCAGCTACAAAACTATTTCTAGAGTCTGTGAGGTAAGGAAGGAGGAAGGAAAAAGCATTCATGTATCATTACTTATGCTCAGGGAGTCATTCAGGAAAGATGTCTATTTATAATTCATCACGTTTCTTTATTATGCGTTATTACAAAATCCCATGGGTCCTTAGTCACATGAGATTATGAGCCAAAAGAGTTCCTCATCACTACCATAATCAATTGAACAATAGTAAGGCATTGCCTCTTGGACATAACACTGAGGTGATTAATAACAAATAAAAACTGAGCTCTCTGAAGAACTAGTTATCTATGTTCACAAACTTTCTCAAGGAGTTACAAAGACTTCTAAAAGCATGAGAATGCCAGACCTTTTCGGACATCTCATCTTGCAGAAGTAAGCACTAAAGTTCACTAAATGAACTCAGAGTAGGGCTCACAAGTACACATTGATTACAGGTGGCCAGCACAGAACTCTGGTCGCTGGCACTCGTTCCCACCATACCATATTACACATTTTTCAGAAACTGCTGTGCCAACTTATGTTCCATAAGGCCTTCAGTCACCCATCAACCACTGTCTAACTGTTACAGAAGCAGGGCCTAAGGATGAAGCAAGCACCCCACACCCAAACAGCAAGGCACTTACAATGAAATGGGATAGCTGTGTCTGCAGCTTTTGCTTCCTCTGCTTGTTTCAGGTTCAGCAAGGTAGAAGCAAACAGAGGGTTATTGATGAAATGCTTCATGTAGTGCTTCTCACACTCCTCTTTGGTCTTGGTAGACATTTGATTGGCTACATCCTGCCTAGAGAAGGAATGTAGGAGAAAGAAGTTAACAGTGCTTTTTCATTTGTGCATAATACAAAAAGCAAAGATGGTTCTCTCCACATGTCTGGAGTCTGACACCTCTAAACTGAGATTATGAAGTTGACAGTAAAATATAAACTTAGTATAATCTGACATTCCTTCTTATTCCAAGTATAGAAATTATTTCTAAACAGTTCTCTTATACCTCAAAAGAAAGAAAAGTAACTAGAAAGTCTATACAATTTCCCCATGAAACAGTCCATAGGGAAAGAATTGCTGTAAAGATCAAACTACTTCAGAACATTAAAAATATGGAGATATTTCATATTTGCATAACATTTTATATTTTGTAAAGCATTTCACATGAACAAACATGTCTTTATTATTGTTATCCTTGTTGCGGATTGCTTTCGAGTCAAACAGGACTCATAGTGACCCTGTGAACAAAAGGCGTCAAGTCCATCTACAACTATCGCCATTTACCAAAGTTCATAGAGTTTCCAGAGGCATGATGTTTAGGAAGTGGATGCTACTATACTCGGAACTGTCACAATATAAATTTAATTCTAGTATTAACTCCGTGGTGCGGGTATTATTATCTTAACAAAAAAATAAGACCCTAAACTTTAGGAACCTTGTTTGAGAACACAAAGCTTACAAAATTAGAATTTGTACTCAAGATCCCTGACTCCTATTTGAGATGAGAGACCTCTCAAAGCCACCCTATCAGGCTCTCTGCTCTCTACACCACAGAACTCTCCTTCTTCTAAGACATGACTACGCTCTGCTGAGTCTAGTTCAACCATCTGTTTGTTTATTTCCCTGATACCCTATAAGCTTATTGAAAGTAGGACTCATGCACTAATTCTTAGCTTTAGGCTCAATCATGACTCTGCTTAATGCGTTATCCACAGTAAGTAGATAAACAAGAAACAGCCTTTCATGTGGTCAGCTAGGAGGAAAAGGGGACTTATAGGATGAATCCACTTTGGAGAGTTGGAATTTCAAGTAGAAAATGAAAAAAATAGGCCAAAGATGACTAGCAAGCTCCTCACTATTTCTTTGGTATTTCCCACAGTATGCAGTATTTTATGTTTACTAAATGCTGAAGGAAGAGGAGCAAAATGTAATGCAGTTCCGGTCTCCTTCTTGGGAGCCCTAGCCATAAGGCAAAGAACCTATTTCAATTGATGTTAAAAAAAAAAGTTTCTACATTAGGAAATGGAGACTGGGAGGATCTAGTTAAGACTCTTCCCCAAACAAGCTGTGTGCTCATGTGAAACCATTTTAACTTCCAAACCTTCAAGTTTGACAAAACATATTTATTAGTGCCTTGACTGTCTGGTTCACAAAATTAAATCATCTGTGTGGGACAGTGCTTCCAAATAGTAAAAAGGAGTAGCTAAGAGAATAAGCCATCCCCTTTTCCTTATGAATCAGGGTGAAGTCTCTCTCAGGGAGGAGTGATAGGGAATGGCAAAGGACACA